GTGTGAGTGTGAGTGTGTGTGTGTGTGTGTGTGTGAGTGTGAGTGAGTGTGTGTGTGTGTGAGTGTGTGTGTGTGTGTGTGTGATAGAGGCGTCGTGCTGCTCAGAAGGGAAGTCTCCCGCTGCGAGAGCGTGTCCTTCCCTCCACTGCATTCATATTGAAATCATAGGCTTTATGCTCGGCCGTCTCAACCTGACAGGCTCCTGGAGCTCCGAGACGCTCCTCTAATCCACACACGTCTGATTGAGCAGCGATGCACGCAGACGTCACATGCACAGACGCACAGACACTTCTGCATGTTTAGGGAGATTTCACAGACTGAATGTTTTCATACTCATCTCTCACACATTAGATGGAAGAGGCTCGAAAAAGTGTTTTGACACTAAAGTCACACAAAAACATGTCTAAATGTCATTGTATTACATGCAAAGTATCAAAGAAAGTAGGATTTATTTTATTGATTTTCCTTTGCAAGAAATTTTGAAAAAAAAATGTTTAGGAGTAAAATTATTCATATATGGATATAATGATTAGATATAGTTTAAAATGAATATAAATACCTTGAGCCTTGTTTAGAACCATTAAATTGTATGAAATTTTATTAAATTACTTTATGCAAAATATAATTAAAAGTCAGTCCTAAAAATGTCTGAATGACATTATATTACATACAAAATATCAAAGAAAATGGGATTTATTTTATAGATTTATTTCAAATTTAAATTTTCAGTTTTCAAGTAAAACATTGAATGAAAAGATGCTTGTTAGAAGTAAAATTATAAATATAGTGTTGAAAATGAATACATAAAATGTGGTGAGTTTAATTTAGGAGCATTGCAATTTTCATAAATGTGGTAAAATTTGTTTAATTGGATAAAATCTTTAATTGTCATGAAAATAATGTCATGATGGGAAAAAAATCATAATGGCCCTAAAAATAAGCTTCATTTTCTTTTTGCAAAATTAAGTTTGTAGTAAATAACTCCTAAAATGTCTAATTTATATTTTATTACATACAAAATATCAAAGCAAGTGGGGTTAATTTTTATAGTATTTTTTAAATGTCACTTTTCAAATTTTCAGCATTTTTAATGCTTGTTGCAAATAAAGTGATGGGCAAAAAATATTTTGAGTCTATTTTTAGGACCATTTAAAAAAAAAAAAGCTTTATTTTCTTTACAAAAAAATAACATTTATTTGATTTTGGGAAAAAAAGGTTTAAAAGAAATGCATAAATTATAGAAAATCAAAGCCTATTTTAGGACCATTTAAAAAAAAAAAAAGCTTTATTTTCTTTACAAAAAAATAAAATTTATTTGATTTTGGGAAAAAAAGGTTTAAAAGAAATGCATAAATTATAGAAAATCAAAGCAAAAAAAAAAAAGCAATTAATTTGGGTTGATTTTTTCTTTTTCTTTCAAATTTTCAAATTTCAAGCAAAGCATTTAATGAAAAAGTTCTTGTTAGGAGTAAAATGCTAGTTTAAAATGAAAGAAAAAATATTTAGAGCCTATTTTTATTATTTAGTCTTTATTTTCTTTATGCAAAATATAATTTCTTTGATTTTGGGGGAAAACTCACTCTTAAAGAGATCTCAAAATAGCATAGAAAATATCAAAGCAATTGTGATTTATTTATTTAGTTTTAATTTCAAGCAGAACATTTAATGAAAAGAAGCTTGCTAGGAGTAAAATAATACATATACTTTAAACTGAAATCAAAATTTTTTTAGAACCTATTGTTAGGACCATATAAAATGTTTAGGCTTCATTTTCCTTTTCCAAAATATAATTTCTTATTTCTTTCGTGAGATTTCGCGCAGTATGATCTGGATGTGTTTTTGACAGGCTTCATCTATTTTTATGTATGAGTTTCTCAGCACATTTTTGGGCCTCTGTGTGTTTGTGTGAGGAGAAGAGCTGCGGTTGTGTATTATTCATCAGAAGTGCTGTTTCT